ACTCAAGATCAAGCTTTGAAAACACTCTGAGCAACTCAAGATCAAGCTTTGAAAACACTCTGAGCAACTCAAGATCAAGCTTTGAAAACACTCTGAGCAACTCAAGATCAAGCAGGTCCCAAGAGGGTTTTGAACCTCAATCATCTGCACCATAGCCCAGTATGATAACGACTGAGGCAACAGGGGAACCTGTACACATGGAGCGTAGGTATAATCATATTCTGAGAAGCAAAAAATGAAGTCTACAGGAGAAAAACTAGTGATGTCACATTTTCTGACTCACCTGAAAATTAAATCCTGAAACTTAATTGTTTCTTTTATGTGAAGAAAACTTTGAAGTCTTTGTGTCTTACTCTTGAAATATTCATTTCATTGTTACAAGTGGTCAGTGGCCTAGTGGTTAGGCTACTGGACTGATAATCATGAGGTTCGGGGTTCGGGGGTTCGAGCCGCGGGCCCACATTGTGTCCTTGGGAAAGGCATTTTACACGAACTTTCCTCACTTCACCCAGGTAGGAATGGGTACCCGGCCATAGACAGCAAAAGATCTTGCCAGTGTGTTAGCGTTTTAGCTCCCATAAATGGCTGCTTGCACTGTATGCTTCCCAGGAGGTTGAACTTGTTTCAGAATGCTCTCAGGTCTGCTGGGGTAATAGTATAGATTGTGAAGCGCATAGAGCTTGCTGTTGAGCAGGGATTTGTGCTATACAAATGCTATCTATTATTATTATTCCGTAGGTTAAATCTTTTTATGTGAACCCTTCCACAGAGCATTAAAAGTAAAAACAGTTTGCAAGACTTGGTCCCTGTTTGTAAGAATGCACCAAGAATCACCCACCTCTCCGTGGCTATCCAGCAATGGTCAGACCTACCGGACATTGACAAATAACAGCAAAGATTTCCTTCAAGGTGGGTAACAAACTTAAGACACAGAACTTCGAGTCCCACCACGAGGAGGATGTGACTCTGATAAATTGGAGTGTTCTTTCCACTCTGTTGACATGTCAGTGACAATTTTAGAATTCATGAGTCTTTGACACAGCTGTAATGACATCCAAGAGAAGCACAGTGGGGGTTTGAAAGAAAGGACAATAATTTTGAACTCCAACAGTTCAGATTCTTCAAACAAAATCCGTAGTCTCACCTGCGCAGGTAAGGATGAGGGGCTGTATGGGGTGAACGGCAAGGGAGCGAATGTAGTCAGCGTGGGCCTGGAACTCATGAACACACTCCCACGTGTTGTAGTTGAAAACTCGTACTGCCGTGTCATCCTGAAGGGATTAAAAAGGAATGTGTTGGTGTGTTTCCTCAATAAATCAGCATTCTCTTTCTGTCTCTGTCTCTCTGTCTGTCTCTGTCTGTCTGTCTGTCTGTCTGTCTGTCTGTTTCTGTCTCTGTCTCTCTCTCTGGTATCTATCTCTCTCTTCTATACTGTCTGTTTTGCTTTTTCTTCCGAACACTAAAT